TCACCAGCAAAGCACCATCACACCACCTCCTCCATGCTTCATGGTGGGAACCACACATGCAGAGATCATCCGTTCACCTACTCTGCGTCTCACAAAGACACGGTGGTTGGAACCAAAAATCTCAAATTTGGACATCAGACTAAAGGACAGATTTCCACCGGTTTAATGTCCCAAGCAAGTCTCTTCTTATTATTATTGGTGTCCTTTAGTAGTGGTTTCTTTGCAGCAATTCGACCATGAAGGCCTGATTTCATACAGTCTCCTCTGAACAGTTGATGTTGAGATGTGTCTGTTACTTGAACTGTGAAGCATGTATTTGGGCTGCAATTTCTGAGGCTGGTAACTTGAATGAACTTATCCTCTGCAGCAGAGGTAACTCTGGGTCTTCCATTCCTGTGGTGGTCCTCATGAGAGCCAGTTTCATCATAGCGCTTGATGGTTTTTGCGACTGCACTTGAAGAAACTTTCAAAGTTCTTGAAATGTTCCATATTGACTGACCTTCATGTCATAAAGTAATGATGGACTGTCATTTCTCTTTACTTATTTGAGCTGTTCTTGCCATAATATGGACTTGGTCTTTTACCAAATAGGGCTATCTTCTGTGTACCCCCCTACCTTGTCACAACTCAACTGATTGGCTCAAACGCATTAAGAGGGAAAGAAATTCCACAAATGAACTTTTAAGAAGGCACACCTGTTAATTCAAATGCATTCCAGGACACCTGTTAATTGAAATGCATTCCAGGTGACTACCTCATGAAGCTGGTTGAGAGAATGCCAAGAGTGTGCAAAGCTGTCATCAAGGCAAAGTGTAGCTATCTAAAATATAAAATATATTTGTTTAACACTTTCTTGGTTACTACATTATTCCATATGTGTTATTTAATAGTTTCGATGTCTTCACTATTATTCTACAATGTAGAAAATAGTCAAAATAAAGAAAAAGCCTTGAATGAGTAGGTGTGTCCAAACTTTTGACTGGTACTGTGTGTATATATACATGCATGCATGCATGCATACATACATACATACATACATACATACATACATACATACATACATACATACATACATACATACATACATATATATACACACACACACACACAGTGCATTCGGAAAGTATTCAGACCCCTTGACTATTTCCACATTTTGTTACGTTACAGCCTTATTCTAAAATTGATTAAATAAATGTTTCCCTCATCATTCTACGCACAATACCCCATAATGACAAAGAAAACAGGTTTTTACAAATTGTTGATAATTTATTAAAATAAAAAAACAAATACCTTATTGTTAATGTTTTCAAATGTATTTAAAATAAAACACAGAAACACCTTATTTACATAAGTATTCAGACCCTTTGCTATGAGACTTGAAATTGAGCTCAGGTGCATCCTGTTTCCATTGATCATCATTGAGATGTTTCTATAACTTAATTGGAGTCCACCTGTGGTAAAACCAATTGATAGGACATGATTTGGGAAGGCACACACCTGTCTATATAAGGTCCCACAGTTGACAGTGCATGTCAGAGCAAAAACCAAGCCGTGAGGTCGAAGGAATTGTCTGTTGTGCTCCGATACAGGAATGTGTCGAGGCACAGATCTGGGGAAGGGTACCAAAACATTTCTGCAGCATTGAAGGTCCCCAAGAACACAGTGGCCTCCATCGTTCTTAAATGGAAGAAGTTTGGAACCACCAAGACTCTTCCTAGAGCTGGCCGCCCGGCCAAACTGGGCAATCGGGGGAGAAGGGCCTTGGTCAGGGAGGTGACAAAGAACCCGATGGTCACTCTGACAGAGCTCCAGAATTCCTCTGTAGAGATGGGAGAACCTTCCAGAAGGACAGCCATCTCTGCAGCACTCCACCAATCAGGCCTTTTATGGTAGAGTGGCCAGACGGAAGCCACTCCTCAGTAAAAGGCACATGACAGCCCACTTGGAGTTTGCCAAAAGGCAACTAAAGGATTCTCAGACCATGAGAAACAAGATTCTCTGGTCTGATGAAACCAAGATTGAACTCTTTGGCCTGAATGCCAAGCGTCACGTCTGGAGGAATCCTGGCACCATCCCTATGGTGAAGCATGGTGGTGGCAGCATCATGCTGTGGGGATGTTTTTCAGTGGAAGGGACTGAGAGACTAGTCAGGATCGAGGGAAAGATTAACAGAGCAAATTACAGTGAGATCCTTGATGAAAACCTGACAACGCATGAGTGGCTTCGGGATAAGTCTCTGAATGTCCTTCAGTGGCCCAGCCAGAGCCTGGACTTGATCCCGATCGAACATCTCTGGAGAGACCTGAAAATAGCTGTGCAGCGACGCTCCCCATCCATCCTGACAGAGCTTGAGAGGATCTGCAGGGAAGAATGGAAGTAACTCCCCAAATGCAGATGTGCCAAGCTTGTAGGGTCATACCCAAGAAGACTCTAGGCTGTAATTGCTGCCAAAGGTGCTTCAACAAAGTACTGAGCATATATATATATATATATATATATATATATATATATATATATATATATATATATATATATATATATATATATATATATATATATATATATATATATATATATATATATATATATATATACACACACACTACCGTTCAAAAGTTTGGGGTCACTTAGAAATGTCCTTGTTTTCGAAAGAAAAGCAATTTTTTTTGTCCATTAAAATAACATCAAATTGGACAAGATGGGTCCCATTATGCCTGGCGAAAGCCAAACACTGCATTCCACAGTAAGAACATCATACCAAAGGTCAAGCAAGGTGGTGGTGTGATGGTTTGAGGATGCTTTGCTGCCTCAGGACCTGGACGACTTGCCTTAATAGAAGGAACCATGAATTCTGCTCTGTATCAGAGAATTCTACAGGAGAATGTCAGACCATCCGTCTGTGAGCTGAAGCTGAAGCGCAGCTGGGTCATGCAGCAAGACAATGATCCAAAACACACAATCAAGTCTACATGAAAATTGCTAAAAAGCAACCAATTGGAAGTTTTGGAATGGCCTAGTCAAAGTCCAGACCTAATCCCAATTGAGATGTTGTGGCAGGATTTGAAACGAGCAGTTCATGCTTAAAAACACACACGTCACTGAGTTAAAGCAGTTCTGCATGGAAGAGTGGGCCAAAATTCCTCCACAGCGACGTGAGAGACTGATCAACAACTACAGGAAGAATTTGGTTGGAGTCATTGCAGCTAAAGGTGGCACAACCAGTTATTGAGTGTAAGGGGGCAATTACTTTTTCACACATGGGAATTGGGTGTTGCATAACTTTGTTTATGAAATAAATATGTAATTGTTGTGTTATTTGTTCACTTATGTTCCCTTTATCTAATATTAGGTTTTGGTTGAAGATCTGATAACATTCAGTATCACAAATATGCAAAAGTAGAGAAAATTAGAAAGGGGGCAAATACTTTTTCAAAGCACTACATTAGTGTCTAGATTGAGAAACAGACGCCTCACAGGTCCTCAACTGGCAGCTTCATTAAATAATACCAGCAAAACAGCAGTCTCAACATCAACATTGAAGAGGCGACTCCGGGATGCTGACCTTCTAGGCAGAGTTGCAAAGAAAAAGTCATGTCTGTGTTCTTTTGCCCATCTTAATCTTTTCTTTTTATTGGCCATTCTGAGATATGACTTTTTCTTTGCAACTCTGCCAAGATCAGCATCCCGGAGTCGCCTCTTCACTGTTGACGTTGAGACTGGTGTTTTGCGGTTACTATTTAATGAAGCTGCCAGTTGAGGACCTGTGAGGCGTCTGTTTCTCAAACTAGACACTCTAATGTATTTGTCCTTTCACTCTAATGAAATAACTTCCTCCAGCTGAACAGCTGCAAGACTCCAGCCAAAATCACTTAAGAGGCTACAACTTCTCCAGAATAGTGCTGCCAGAGTCCTGACCAGGAAGTCAGCCCACACCACCCCCATCCCTGCTGAACTCCACTGGCTACCGGTTAACCAGAGGATTGATTTTAAAATCCTCCTCTTAGTGTTTAAAACCTTGAATGGATTGCGTCCCACCTACATCAGATACGTTATTTCTATCACTCTCCGCTCCAGCAACTCCCTACTGCGTCAAGTCCCCAAGACACGTCTCCATGGGGGACCGAGCCTTCTGCTCCCTTGCCCCTCGCATATGGAATGCTCTCCCTGATCATCTGAGAGCCGCTCCATCAATCAGAACTTTTAAAACGGGATTTAAAACCCCTTTCTACAGAATGTCTTGTCTTCTAGTCCTAATCTGTAAAGGCCCTTTAGGATTTTCTATTGCTATTTCCTGCCTTGATTCTAACTGATGTTAATTGTATTTCTAATCTCAAGGCAAGTGGTATCAGGTGAGTTGAGCTAAGATAAGTGGTGGTCCTGACTCCTAGATGATTTGCAGGGCAGGTAGCTCTGTATTTGAGAGCTGTCCACTCAAGGCAGTGTAAGATGGAAGGATCCTTTCTCTCTGTCAGCTCTCTCTCGCCGTGACAGGGATGGTTTCATGCTCATTGGCATCTAACAAGCAGGTGCGTCTGGTCTGAGACGAGGTGGGCGGAGAGGAGAGCAGGCTGGAGAGACTGGAGTCGTCTCAGCCACTTCAGAGGTACTCCTCAAAGGCTCTTGGCTGGAGAGTGAGAGAGGAGGGGAGGATATTCTCTACACCGTCAGCCTGCCTGTGAAAGAGAGGGGGCAGAGGGAAGAAGGAGGGGAGGATAGCCCTGCCTGCCCTCGGGGCAAACTTAGACAAACGCATTGAGCACTTGGTAGAGCACATAATTTCAATGTGTCATATGCATTTATTTCACGTTTCCAGTCGTGTTGAGAAAGCAGCTCTCTGCTGTGACTGTGCCGCTGTGTGAAGGAAAGTTCTATGCTACCAACCCTGTTTTTATCTAGCTACTAGTAGCCCCTGGTTATGGAGCCCCTTTCTCTATGTTGCAGTTATTTTGGAACCAACTCTAAACCTTTCTTCTCTTCTTTCTCCAGACCTCCCTGGTTTAATGGGTGCAATCATCGGGATGTCGCCGGATAAGAAAGCGGAAACGCCGGGGATGCAGGGGGAGAGGGCGGGGCTTAGGGGCTTGTGCCGGGGGGTGGGGACTCTCCCAGAGGCAGAGTGCGGTGCAGCCAGCCCATTGGCCACCAGTCTGGACCGGGGTTCCGGGGGCTCTGAGGACGAGGAGCTCACCAACCTCAACTGGCTCCATGAGAACCTGCTCCAGAACTTTACCCTAGGGGGGCCCGGTGAGGCCGGGGGGGCCCAACCCAGCGCCAGCCCCCTCTTTGACATTGAGGGCAACACCGGAGCCCCGCAGAACCCCCCCTCTTCATCCTCTTCCACCTCGTCACAGAGGGACTCGTTGAAGTCCAAGCCTCCATTCTCATTCTCTCTGTTGATCTACATGGCCATAGAGCAGAGCCCCAGTAAGAGCCTGCCGGTGAAGGACATCTATGGTTGGATCGTACAGCACTTCCCCTACTTCTCCTCGGCCCCCACCGGCTGGAAGAACAGCGTCAGACACAATCTGTCACTCAACAAGTGTTTCCGCAAGGTGGAGAGGAGCCTGGGAATGGTGAGGGAACTTTGAGATGCGCGCACACACTTTGTTTGTTGGCAGTGCCTAGGTTGTGGGTTCGATTCCCGCAAGGATCACACACATTTTATACAAGTTCTCATCTGACTAGGGATGGGCTTAAGTTCTCATCTGACTAGGGATGGGCGTTAGTAAACCAGCACTCGAACGGACGTCAATGCTCGATCTTTAACCAGAGATCTAATTTTTTTCAAATGCTGTAAAACCATTTGGTGAAATGTGCTTTGTGGCAGCCCAAATGGGAAAATGAAATGTTATCCCTCCCCAAAAAATGAAATTTTGTCAACGTTAATTTGCTTTGACTAGTGTTCCATTTGTACACTGCATTTGGAAAGTATTCAGACCCCTTGACTTTTTCCAAATTTTGTTATGTTACGGCCATATTCTAAAATTGATTTTAAAAAATGATAATAATATCATCAATCTACACACAATACCCCATAATGACAAGGCAAAAGCTGTTTTTTTATACATGTATAAAAAATAAACAAACAAATATTTATTTATTTATTTAACCTTTATTTAACCAGGTAAGCCAGTTGAGAACAAGTTCTCATTTACAACTGCGACCTGGCCAAGATAAAGCAAAGCAGTGCGATTAAAAACAGCAACACAAGAGTTACATATGGAATAAACAAAACGTACAGTCAATAACACAATAGAAAATCTATATACAGTGTGTACAAATGTAGTAAGTTATGGAGGTAAGGCAATAAATAGGCCATAGTGCAAAATAATTACAATTTAGTATTAACACTGGAGTGATAGATGTGCAGAAGATGATGTGCAAATAGAGATACTGGGGTGCAAATGAGCAAAATAAATAACAATGTATGAAAAATGTATGCACTCACTAACTGTAAGTCGCTCTGGATAAGAGCATCTGCTAAATGACGTAAATGTAATGTAAATAACAATATGGGGATGAGGTAGTTGGGTGGGCTAATTGCAGATGGGCTGTGTACAGGTGCAGTGATCGGTAAGCTGCTCTGACAACTGACGCTTAAAGTTAGTGAGGGAGATAAGAGTCTCCAGCTTCAGAGATTTTTGCAGTTTGTTCCAGTCATTGGCAGCAGAGAACTGGAAGGAATGGCGGCCAAAGGAGGTGTTGGCTTTGGGGATGACCAGTGAGACCTGCTGGAGCGCAGACTACGGGTGGGTGCTGCTATGGTGACCAATGTTCTAGAAGTGATTTATAGATGACCTGGAGCCAGTGGGATTGGCGACGAATATGTAGTGAGGGCCAGCCAACGAGAGCGTACAGGTCACAGTGGTGGGTAGTGTATGGGGCTTTGGAGACAAAACGGATGGCACTGTGATAGACTAATAATAATAATAATATGCCATTTAGCAGACGCTTTTATCCAAAGCGACTTACAGTCATGCGTGCATACATTTTTGTGTATGGGTGATCCCGGGGATCGAACCCACTACCTTGGCGTTACAAGCGCCGTGCTCTACCAGCTGAGCTACAGAGGACCACTACATCCAATTTGCTGAGTAGAGTGTTGGAGGCTATTTTGTAAATGACATCACCGAAGTAAAGGATCAGTAGGATAGTCAGTTTTACGAGGGCATGTTTGGCAGCATGAGTGAAGGAGGCTTTGTTGCAAAATAGGAAGCCGATTCTAGATTTAACTTTGGATTGGAGATTCTTAATGTGAGTCTGGAAGGAGAGTTTACAGTCTAACCAGACACCTAGGTATTTGTAGTTGTCCACATACTCTAGGTCAGACCCGTCGAGAGTAGTGATTCTAGTCGGGTGGGCGGGTGCCAGCAGCGTTCGATTGAAGAGCATGCATTTAGTTTTACTAGTGTTTAAGAGCAGTTGGAGGCTACTGAAGGAGTGTTGTATGGCATTGAAGCTCGTTTGGAGGTTTGTTAACACAGTGTCCAATGAAGGGCCAGATGTATACAAAATGGTGTTGTCTGCGTAGAGGTGGATCTGAGAGTCACCAGCAGCAAGAGCGACATCATTGATATACACGGAGAAAAGAGTCGGCCCAAGAATTGAACCCTGTGGCACCCCCATAGAGACTGCCATACAGTGGGGGAAAAAAGTATTTAGTCAGCCACCAATTGTGCAAGTTCTCCCACTTAAAAAGATGAGAGAGGCCTGTAAATGTCATCATAGGTACACGTCAACTATGACAGACAAAATGAGAAAAAAAATCCAGAAAATCACATTGTAGGATTTTTAATGAATTTATTTGCAAATTATGGTGGAAAATAAGTATTTGGTCAATAACAAAAGTTTCTCAATACTTTGTTATATACCCTTTGTTGGCAATGACACAGGTCAAACGTTTTCTGTAAGTCTTCAAGGTTTTCACACACTGTTGCTGGTATTTTGGCCCATTCCTCCATGCAGATCTCCTCTAGAGCAGTGATGTTTTGGGGCTGTCGCTGGGCAACACAGACTTTCAACTCCCTCCAAAGATTTTCTATGGGGTTGAGATCTGAAAACTGGCTAGGCCACTCCAGGACCTTGAAATGCTTCTTACGAAGCCACTCCTTCGTTGCCCAGGCGGTGTGTTTGGGATCATTGTCATGCTGAAAGACCCAGCCACGTTTCATCTTCAATGCCCTTGCTGATGGAAGGAGGTTTTCACTCAAAATCTCACGATACATGGCCCCATTCATTCTTTCCTTTACACGGATCAGTCGTCCTGGTCCCTTTGCAGAAAAACTGCCCCAAAGCATGATGTTTCCACCCCCATGCTTCACAGTAGGTATGGTGTTCTTTGGATGCAACTCAGCATTCTTTGTCCTCCAAACACGACGAGTTGTGTTTTTACCAAAAAGTTCTATTTTGGTTTCATCTGACCATATGACATTCTCCCAATCCTCTTCTGGATCATCCAAATACACTCTGGCAAAATTCAGACGGGCCTGGACATGTACTGGCTTAAGCAGGGGGACACGTCTGGCACTGCAGGATTTGAGTCCCTGGCGGTGTAGTGTGTTACTGATGGTAGGCTTTGTTACTTTGGTCCCAGCTCTCTGCAGGTCATTTGTGTGGTTCTGGGATTTTTGCTCACCGTTCTTGTGATCATTTTGACCCCATGGGGTGAGATCTTGCGTGGAGCCCCAGATCGAGGGAGATTATCAGTGGTCTTGTATGTCTTCCATTTCCTAATAATTGCTCCCACAGTTGATTTCTTCAAACCAAGATGCTTACCTATTGCAGATCCAGTCTTCCCAGCCTGGTGCAGGTCTACAATTTTGTTTCTGGTGTCCTTTGACAGCTCTTTGGTCTTGGCCATAGTGGAGTTTGGAGTGTGACTGTTTGAGGTTGTGGACAGGTGTCTTTTATACTGATAACAAGTTCAAACAGGTGCCATTAATACAGGTAACGAGTGGAGGACAGAGGAGCCTCTTAAAGAAGAAGTTACAGGTGTGTGAGAGCCAGAAATTGTTTGTAGGTGACCAAATACTTATTTTCCACCATCATTTGCAAATAAATTCATTAAAAATCCTACTATGTGATTTTCTGGAAAAAAAATTCTCAATTTGTCTGTCATGGTTGACGTGTACCTATTATGAAAATTACAGGCCTCTTTCATCTTTTTAAGTGGGAGAACTTGCACAATTGGTGGCTGACTAAATACTTTTTTTCCCCACTGTACTTGCATACTTTTGTTTGTACAAATGAACGTACTCCCAAGGATGAACCAGACTTGTAGAGGTCTACAAATTTTTTTCTGAGGTCTTGGCTGATTTCTTTTGGTTTTCCCATGATGTCAAGCAAAGAGGCACTGAGTTTGAAGGTAGGCCTTGAAATACATCCACAGGTACACCTCCAATTGACTCAAATTATGTCAATTAGCCTATCAGAAGCTTCTAAAGCCATGACATCATTTTCTGGAATTTTCCAAGCTGTTTAAAGGCACCGTCAACTTAGTGTATATAAACTTCTGACCCACTGGAATTGTGATACAGTGAATTATAAGTGAAATAATCTGTCTGTAAATAATTGTTGGAAAAATTACTTGTCTTGCACAAAGTAGATGTCCTAACCGACTTGCCAAAACTATAGTTTGTTAACAAGAAATTTGTGGAGTGGTTGAAAAACGAGTTTTTATGACTCCAACCTACGTGTATGTAAACTTCCGACTTAAATCACCAAGGAAATGTAGTTGAGCATGTCACCCATGGTGACAGGTTTCCAGGACATCTTCCTTCCCCCCTGCTGCTTCTTGTCCCCATACTTGTTGGTATTACTAATTAGTGTTCCCAGTACAGAGGTGGTAAAGTAGAGCTGAAACAGCTGTAAAGTGGTGTATGTTTCATCACTAACCAACTGTGGGCCTTCAGGTCATTTGGGTTTAAACCTACATTTTTCTGGTCCTCAGGACTGTATGCCACCTGTCCTCAGTTTCATCTCCCTCTTGTGCTGCTTCCCCTGCCTCTCCCTCTTCTCTGTTGAGGCCTAGATCTCCTCCCTGCCCCCGCACCTCCAGATGAACTTGCAGAGAGGGGAGTGGTGCCAAGGCCTACAGTGGGGGTGGTTGTGGATGAAGAACCATCAGACAGGGTGATTGAAACTGCAGTGTGGGTGGTTGAAGAGGAGTGGGGCCTTTGTCGAGTTGTGGATGTAGAACCATCAGATGGGATGATTGACATAGCGGTGGGGGCACTTGCTGGGGAGGGATGGTTCCCAAATGTAATCATCCAAATCCTCTGCATCCTCCACTCTATGGTGAATAAAATAAAGGGATATATTGTTGTAAGACACACAGAATTACAGTTGACTAAATTTACAAAACGATATTACTGTAAAGGAAAAACACCAAGCCTAAACTTTATCTGTACAGTGACTCACATAGAAGGTGTGAAGTACACACGAAAAGCAAACATAAACACTTTGGAGACAAAGGCAGAGGTGAGAACCACAAATAAACAATGGCCATGTGAGTTTAGTGGCCTCTCCAAAGTTACAAGGATGAAACTTACAACAGCAAACAGTGAACTAATATGAAACATAGACAATAACTACTTTGAATTATATACAGTACCAGTCAAAAGTTTGGACACACCTACTCATTCAAGGGTTTTTCTTTATTTTTACTATTTTCTACATTGTAGAATATTAATGAAGACATCAAAACTATGAAATAACACATATGGAATCATGTAGTAACCCAAAAAGTGTTAAACAAATTAAAATATATTTTATATTTGAGATTCTTCAAAGTAGCCACCCTTTGCCTTGATGACAGCTTTGCACGGGGCTGGTAATCAATAACGGTAGGTCACAGACAGACAAATAAGATATCTTCATGATCTGTGGAGTCACGGCTTTCGGTGTGTATCAACGTATTCCGTGTTTATTTAGTATATGCTTCACAACGCTAACTGTAATGTAGGTAGCAGCCATCTTGAAATGAGATCATTGGCTCGGCCTGCCCTTATATGGGCATACGAATTTATATGGTAGTAAGTCACACCAAAGATTTGAAGGCACCGATCAATAGCCAAGATACTCAGCTTTCCGCAGACACCCTGCTTTTGCAGATATGGGCTACCGTTCTCATAATAGACTGAAATGAATTGAAAAAATCTAATAGGGTCCCCAAATATGAGGACTTTACATTTAAGAGCGATCAGCACTGGTTTCAGATGACACACTGCCTGGTGGTTTGCGTTGCCATGGTGACATTTCCTCCTTCCTGCCTGTGTGCCGGCTGGTAATCTGAGTCAAGGTTATATTCCTCCCTCCCTCCTCTCGCTTTCCCCTCCTCCTCCTCCTCCTCTGGGCTGAAAAAGAACACCAGATATAGATAATGAGAGAACCGTTTTACACACTTTCTCACACACACGCACACTAATGGTATGGCATCAAACACATGGAAACCATGTGTTTTGGTGAATTTGATGCCATGCCACTCCAGCCATTACCACGAGCCGTCCTCCTCAATTAAGGTGCCACCAACCTCCTGTGACACACACACAGACTTACACATTTTTACATATTTTTTTACATCATGGAGTTGTGTGTTGTTCATGAACCTGCAAATGGGATATATAACAATGTCTTCATGTCTTAAGCTTGGGCTACAGTAGTGAGGTTCTACAAAGGCAAGTCACATGGAAAGGACTTCCCCAGTGCGTACAAAATCTCAACTCAGTCCAACCCTATAATAAGCCTTTAAGGACGGCATGGAATGTTTATCGACAGTTTTCCTCCCATCATGCAGTTCACCCAGCAAGGTCTGGATTGGTAATCACATGCTCAAAGGTGACTGCATTATGAGTCATTATGTCAGCTAGTGCAACCTAAAGCCCTGGTAAGGCTACAGTGAGAGTCAGTCATGCAGGCAAAACAGCTGTTAAAGGTGCTGCTGCCTTAGTGTGTATAGCATTGCACTGGCAACGTCAGGATAGTTTGTAGAGCATTGCACTGGCAACGTCAGGATAGTTTGTAGAGCATTGCACTGGCAACGTCAGGATAGTTTGTAGAGCATTGCACTGGCAACGTCAGGATAGTTTGTAGAGCATTGCACTGGCAACGTCAGGATAGTTTGTAGAGCATTGCACTGGCAACGTCAGGATAGTTTGTAGAGCATTGCACTGGCAACGTCAGGATAGTTTGTAGAGCATTGCACTGGCAACGTCAGGATAGTTTGTAGAGCATTTCACTGGCAACGTCAGGATAGTTTGTAGAGCATTGCACTGGCAACGTCAGGATAGTTTGTAGAGCATTGCACTGGCAACGTCAGGATAGTTTGTAGAGCATTGCACTGGCAACGTCAGGATAGTTTGTAGAGCATTGCACTGGCAACGTCAGGATAGTTTGTAGAGCATTGCACTGGCAACGTCAGGATAGTTTGTAGAGCATTTCACTGGCAACGTCAGGATAGTTTGTAGAGCATTTCACTGGCAACGTCAAGATTGTGGGTTTAATTCCCGGGCCACCCATACATAAAATGTATGCAGCATGACTGTAAATCGCTTTGGATAAAAGCCTCTGCTAAATGGTATTATTATTATTATTATTATTATTATTATTATTATTATTATTATTATTAAGCCTAGTCATGAGAACTTTACCAGAGTATTGTGATACTACAATGAGATACTATATGAATGTATCCATTAAGAAATGCTCTATTTAAACATTTAGCTACGGTGTGCCCCAAATGAACACCACCCAGGTCAGTCTTGCTGTATTTTCTAATGTAGTGTGTGATGTTTATTTCAGGTGAATGGTAAGGGTTCCCTGTGGTGTGTGGACCCAGAGTACAGGCCCAACCTGATCCAGGCGCTGAAGAAGCAGCACTTCCCTGCAGCACATGCCTTCTGCACACCACCTGCCTCCCCACCGCCTGCCTCCTCACCCCCTAGACATCTCTTCCTGCAGGGCTGCTCTCTCAAAGGTGAGTCATAACCCCCCAACACAACTTACAAGAACACTTTTAGACTGTTTTTTATTGTTTTCTCTCATCTGTCGTTCTTGTGAGGCTCCAAGAGAGGCTCCAGTGGGACAGAAAACAAGGTGTAGGCGACATCACAGCGAAGACCAACCTTTAGACAACACACAACAACTCTCTGCTGGTGATCACACCTCAGATTCTCTAGAAATATGATTAATATTACATTTGATCCAGTTTCAGCTCTCGCTGCATGTGATTTCAAATTCACATGGTTGTTGCCTCTGCACATTTTCGTCATGCAACTTTGGCCGACAAGACATTCAGCATAACCATCATCTTTAATAATTAGAACCCATAGCGGCCATCAATGGCCTTTCTTTAAATTACTATAGTGGCCGCGAACGGTCTTGTTTTTCTAACAATAATGTGTCAATATCGCAAAATGTACTTGCTTACAACCTGTTGTCGTATTTGCGTGGCTGTCATCAACCAGATGTCGAGGTGAGTGAAAAAAGTAAAAATCTGATATATGTTTGGTGTTGTCGATGTTTGTTTGACGCTGTGCAACTTGGGGAATAGCTCACAGATTAGCAAATCCTGTCATGTCATGATAACTTGGTTGGTACAGGCGAGCACATCAGCGGTGGAGCTTGAATGATTGCTCTCTGTCTCATGGATAGTTGCAGTGTTTAGCTGTATATAGTCAGCTAGCTAGTTGTTGGTTTGTTTCAATGTAATTGATATGAAAACGTCCCAAGCTGCTTGCTATAGCTAGCTAGCTAACTAGTTAGTCTATCAGGTAAGACAAGTTGTGTGTAGTGGTACATTTGGGAAGTTGTGTGTAGTGGTATATCTGGGCAGCGCTCACAAGCGTCAACCTCAGCTGTCATTTTCACTAGCTAGCAAAACAGCCAACCAGCTAACTAGCCACCGAAATGAAGGCTAGAGTAATTAGTGTTTATCTGTTGGGCTTAGGTTATGGTTTGTCATGTTTGCTAGGTGCAGATATTCATAGCCTCATGTTCCTATTATTTGACAGTTTAGCTGTCGTGTTAGGGTAGTAGATGCCCACGCAGTGGAGCTCATATGATGAGTTGGATATAAGTTTACATAGCCAGCTAACAAGTTGCTTGTTTTGTCCAGTTTCTAGCGATGCAATTACTTTGGAAACTGTCCCAGCTTCGTACCTAATCAGCTAACATTGGCGTACTCTCTCTCTCTCTGTGAGTGAGTGAGTGAGTGAGTGAGTGGACTATTGTATCCTATTTGTTGCTCCTCCCTCTGTTCCTCTAGGTCAGTTAAAGTGAAGGAAGTGATGTGGAGATTCAGGGCTTAGCAGCAGAAGGCAGGGAGGAAGAGGAGTTAGAGATGATTGGAGGGATAGAAATGTGGAGGAAGAGGAGAGTGAAGAGGGAGAAAAGAGTGGAGGGAGAGGAACATGAAGAGGACAAAGCAGAGGGAGAGGTCTGTACTAAATCGTATTGAGACAAGTTACCTACATTTTGAAATAGTCTCTGAATAGTTGTTTGCATTTTTACATTGTTACAGAAGTAAGAATCGTTGTCAATCAAATAGCCTACTTTGTGTGGGTTTTGAAATACTTTCTGAATATTGTCCTCTGGTCACATTTTGGACCATTTATTTATTTGTATGTAAATAACATTTACAAGTATAATATATTATACTTGGTATATTTTTAAGTGAGTAATTTAGTCCAATTTACTACAATTTAAATACGCTAGGGTTTTCTTGTTGTGATGAGTGTTAATCGCCTTTTGATAGAGTGTCTTTACACAATGGGAGACAAAATGAGTGTTATTCCTATTGACATGAATGTGGTGTCATATTAAAGAAGAGGTAGTGTTCTTTAAAACTAAGTTAACTTGTAATTGTCATTTGTTCTTTGTTTTTGAGCTATGTCTATTTTTGTTTGAAATGTGTGAGAAAATGAGCTTCATCTTAAACTCAGTAATCTACAGCAGCATTCTAGAATGCTATTGGGGTCTAAAGGGGTTAACTGTCATTTTAGTCATTGTTTAATTTCAAACCATAGAGGCCTCAGTGTAGATTATTCTGATCTGAATCCTCTCGCTCTCTCTCTCCTACCCTCTTGTTTGGTAACCTTGACTACAGAGACCCTGCGGATAATTCTTCAATCCTCTAGGTGATTAGAAATCATTTAGAGAACCTGAAGTGTGGGATGGAGAGAGCTGGGAAAGCTCCCTTCCTCTTGCCCCTCCTTAACTGGCCACACACACACACACACACACACTGGCTATTCCACTGACCACCATGCATGTTCTCTCCTCTTCTAGAGTCTGACATAGATGCTGCTACTGCCATGATGCTCTTAAACGCCGCCCCTGGCCATCACCATGCCGACCCATGTAAGAGACTCCACCCCACACCATGCCTCTTCCACTTCTCTCCTCTCTCTCTCTCTCTCTCTCTCTCTCTCACACTTTTTAACTTCTACTCCCCCCTTCTCTCTCTCTCTCTCTCTCTCTCTCTCTCTCTCTCTCTCTCTCTCTCGCTCTCACTTTTTAACTACTACTCTCCCCATTCTTTCTCTCCTGCTCTCTTTTTCTCTGCCACCTACCCGTTTCACGCTTTCATCTTTATTTTATTGCTTTTGCGTCCCTCTCCCAGCATCTATCCACCCTCACCTTGCTTTAGCACCCCTGTAACACATCTCCCTGTCTCTCCATTGATTCATATATACACTCGACAGCACAGTTCAAGTCCCACTCACATATTGTCATTCTAAGCCAGACAAGGTTGCATATAGAATTCTCTTCCTGTGAATAACCCGTGTTGTATTTTCTCCCATGTCTTCTCAGTGTTCATTCGACTAGACACTTCTGCCTCTGCTGTTGTCATCAATTGTTATGAATGTTAATTACTGGGATCTGCTGAACAGACACTCCCTAGCCCGCCGCTTATTTCTCTTTATCACATAACCTACTCCCACTGCCCTGTTGCATTCTGAAACGCTGTTTCTTTAGTGTTAAGATGTTCTCCTCCTCCCTCTAAATCTCCCTCTCCTCACTCCCCCTCTCCTCACTCCCCCTCCCTCTCCCTCTCCACTCCCTCCCTCACTCCACCTCCGTCCCCCTCTTCTCGCCCCCTCCCCCCCCCCGCCTCTCCCTCTCCTCCCACTCCCCCTCTCTACCCGCCCCTCCAGTCTCCTCCCCCCCCCTCCTCTCTCTCGCCCCCCCCTCCTCACATCCTCCCCCCTCGGTCCCCCACCCCCCCTCGTCTCCCCCCCCCCCCTCCTGCCCCCTCTCATCTCTCTCTCTCTCCCCCCCCTCTCCTCCTCATTCCCCCTCTCTCCTCGCCCCCGCTCTCCTCCCCCCCCTCTCTCTCGTTCCCAGCTCCCCCTCCTCTCCTCGTCACTCCACCCCTCGCTCCCCTCTCTCTCCCTCCCGCCCCCTCTCTACTCTCTCCTCCCCCCTCTCTCTCTCTCTCCTCATTCCCCCCTCTCTCTCTCCTCACCCCCCCCCTCTCTCTCTCTCCCCCTCTACGCTCTCCTCGACTCCCTAACCCCCTCTCTCCTCAGCACTTCCCTCACCCTCTCTCTCTCTCCTCCCCCTGACCCCTCTCCACTCACCCTCTCTCTCCCTCCCTCCACTCCCTCTTCTCTCCCCCGCCCCTCCCCACCCCCCCCCCCCCTCTCTCTCTCTCTCTCTCTCTCTCTCTCTCCTCACCCCCCCCCCCCCCCCCTCTCTCTCTCTCTCTCCTTACTCATCCCTATCTTATTTCCCTCCCTGTCCCAGGTGATCCAGAGAGTCCCCTGGACCTGTCCCGGCCAGACTTGGTGCTGGTGAGCAGCGATCCTAAGCAGGACCACAACTACAGCAGCATGGCCCTACAGCGCTGCTCCTCCCACTCCTCCTCCTCCTCCCTCTCCTCCCTGGACGAAGGAGGCACCTCCCCCGGCCACGCCCGCCACAGGCCCCGTACATGCCGCGCCGGCAGCGAGGGTTTCCATAGCGACGAGGAGGACTCCGACCTCGGGGACCGGGACGAGAGAGAATGCCGCCCCCGGCCTGCTCCTCGCCGCTCCTCCTCCTCTTCGGTGAAGCACCCGGCGGGTAAGAGGGCCCGTAGGGAGGTGACAGCCAAGCCGGAGCTGGATGAGGAGCTGAAGGAGGCGGCTGGGTCTCTGCTCCACCTGGCTGGGATCCGTACCGCCATGGACCTTAACAAACGCAGTGCCAAGAGCAAAAAACTGAACAGGAAATGAGGTTCCTTCCTGCCCTTGCCCTCAGACTCCCGCCCCTTAACCCCTTACCCCTGACCGTGTGTCCTGATTGGTCCTGGTTGTGCCTCCTTCTCCTTTTCTGTTTGCTGATTGGCTGATTTTGAGCCCGTTTTTTTGTTTGACACATTATGGGATGGGATATCCCTCACTATCCAACACAACAAATGGCAATAGTATTATTCACACAGGAGAACAAAGCCATGTTGAGACTTTTGTAACTCGGGCGTATCAGGTGGGTGGGTCAGGGTTAAGTGGGGTGTTTGTGGACTACTGAGAAGAACCATCACAAAACTGCCTGTTTTTCTGATGGCTTAGCCGCAGATCCTCGCAATTCAAATTATGTTTTGGTGGATCAAAAAAAGTCAAGATGGGAAAAAGCTGAAAGTTTTTATAACTCAAAGCATTGCATGCTTCCTCCTCAACCTGTATCCTCTTCCATGTGAACCTATTTCTAAGAGAATGAGTGCATGTTTGTAACAAACTAACCTCTCCTCTCATGTTGTAGTTAGTTTCTCCGTGCTGAAGATACCACTGTTTTTTATAGGCCACAACCTTGGTCTGGAAATATCTTCCAAAGAGATGCAATAACTTAAACCACTCTTTATATCATTTTATTTTTTTAGTGTTGGTATTTTCCTGGGTTGATGATGTGAGGAGGATGGAATCATCCTTACACGGAGTAGAATACTGGACCGGTTCCATGTCAGGGAGTGGAAACGTAACAAAGGGAATGTTGGAACTCTGACACTGCCATGTTAAGTAGGGAATAAAACAAAGATGGCCGACTGCTAGTTCTACTCTGAGAGGGAAACATCATTACATCTTCATGCCATTAGAACCTACTCCTCTTCATCGCTCTTCCTCTGCTGACCCCTCTAATTCTGTTTATACACTAAACACATTATTTGTGTTTAGTGTGTAAACTGAGAAATTACATTTGATGCAGGCCCTATTCGATCCTGTCCTATTCTATCCTGTCTTATCCTGTCTTATACTATGCAAGGTGTAGTGTAGACTAATCTGGCTGAAACATAGCAAATGTTGTTGTAACCATAGTGATCCCAAGACGATGCGCTTGGCATGAGGGCACTCACTGGCAGATGTGCTGCTCAGTATTCAATTATGTAATACTAGTCACATCGACTCTGACATTAGTATTCAGGCCAAAGGGAAGTTAAAACAAAGATGTTATCATAATGTTGTCGTGAGGTTAGATGGACAATGTTATGAGAGTCCAGACTGTTATTGTACTACTGCCCCTCCTGAATGTTGTGTTGGCTGACCCTGTGGCAGAGTTCAGACTGTGTTGACAGAAAGAGGCATTGCTTCGTCTTGTTCCACATTAAGGAAACACGGAGGGCAAAATTAGGAAGTTCACCACTCTTCTCTCTGCTGTACAGTAATGTGTCTACGGCCAGTTGATTACATTGAGTTCAGTGACGGAAAGTACAGGATGTGGAAACAGAACTTGTGAAGCCAGACTGGTGCTCTTCGTGCTTGCATGTATTAACTTGCATTAGTAAGCAAAACACCAATATGCCCATATGATTAGAATAGCTTTTAGTTGGTGCACTGCAGTACAGTGTACTGTCCTCTGTCATGAGCCAACTTAAGTGCAAGTTAAGTTTGCACTTGTGTTGTATCACAGGGAATAATGTTAAATTAAGTCATGTTGGTAAGTATAGATTGTATGCAGTGCCAAACATTAATTTGTGTCACATAAGTGAAACTACCAAGGCCATTGCGACAATGTTCCTCTTCTCACAGTATTTGTGACTGACCGTAACATTGTTGCCCCAGTTTTCTAGAAGCCTGCCAAGAGGAAATGTAGGAAAACTCTGACCTAGTCTGATATGCAGTTTATTTTGGTTGTTCTGGAATGGGAATCGCTGTGTTCTTAGAAGGGGAATTTTGTTCTTAGAACTAAACTGCAGTTCTCCTAAATAAGATGGACATAGAATACACTGGTCTTACCTGGCTGTGAATAAACAAAGAACAAATTAATGGTGTCCATTAAATCATCCATTTATTTATAATATTTAATTTATAATGGACTATTAAAAGGAACTTCTCCTATCAAATAAAGGTAATTTGAAGTGAGTGGAAATGTTACTTCCTCTCTCCCCTCTGGAAAATCCTTTTGATGAGACTTTTTTAGTTTAGTTTTATTTTCATTATATTTTACTGCCATAGACCACTACTTTCACTATGTGTTATAGTGATGGTGTGTCTGAGAAATAACTGTATATTGCCAATGTATATTATCTTTCGAGCGGGTGTTTTTCAATTTAACTACGACTGCCAAGTTTCCAGATGTTTTTGTTGTTGGAGAAAAGACAATTGATTAACATATTGATTCTGAACCATTTTTTGCCGACAGTGATGTTGTACAGAGAAAGCAGAGGTAGACATTTCAGATGACATTCCCTATGTATTTGATAGGGAAAGTTGATGTAATCATCATGAACTTCAAAGCCTTTATCTGAATTTGTATTGTTTATGTTTAGATAATATTCTGACTGCCCTAAGTAGTCACACCATAGATATTAGTTGGCACTCCCTCGCCATGTTAGGATCCTGCCACCATAGAAGTCACCTACACTTACTGACACTAAAAACCCACATTTCCAAGGGTTGCCCTGGTGTTAGTCTTGGTACCCCCATGGACTTCTGTTTAAACTCAGATAGTTGAGAACAAGTTACAGTAACTTGTTCACGCTGTAGCCCTTGTAGCTAGAAGAAAGGTCTTATCAGACTCACAGTGAAGTGAATGTTTTAATACTGAACAAAAATATAAATGCAACATGCATTTTTACTGAGTTAGAGTTTATATAAGGAAATCAGTTAATTAAAAATAAATTAGGCCCTAATCTATGGATTTCACATGACTGGGCAGAGGAGCAGCCATGGGTGAGCCTGGGAGCCAGACCCACCCACTGGGGAGCCAGTTCCAGCCAATCCGAATGAGTTTTTCCCCACAAAAGGGCTTTATTACAGACAGAAATACTCCTCAGCACCTCAAAGACTACTAAACACGATGGGGCACCATAGCGGTCTATATCGTCACCAATAAGGTTCACTTGACACAGTGACAAATGATGCTAGGCTCAAAGCAGCATACATAGGATGCATCATTGTTTGAAAACGTATTGATTATGCAACAACAACTAAAAATCTCTCAAATTCAGTTGCAATTTATTGATTATGATAAAGCGTTTTGTCGCGTTGAACTGACTAAAGCTGCCACCCCAGTATCCGTCAGTCGTCTGCCATGTCTCTTCGACAGAACTTTTGGTTTTTGTGTGTGCTAAACTCTGTTAATAAAATGTTTATAAAGTTTATTTTCGCCAAAGATATGCATTATATATGGTATTACAAAATAAAACAAATCTTGTTTTATCATTTTTGTGTCTGTTTGTTTTTCATTTGTTAATGTTTACTTCTTTGATGAAATGGTCCATTATAAAGAAAATACTGTCTAACCAAAAGATATACTGTATCAAGATAAATGACTAAATGTAATGTAAATGTAATAAATCTAAATTCTGCATTACCACTGACCACAAATCCTTAATGACATTGACATGGGTGCATTTGGGAAAATTCTTATGCATTCAATAACCTACACATTTGAACAACCAAAAATGTGTGACAAAGTCCTTGGTTATAAACCCTTGAAAGTGAAGAGATCATGCTTTATTAATAAAACGTTGATCAACATCTCCACCTGCTGTTTAGAGGAGGTAATGACTAACCTTTAAAAATGTACAGTGGCTTGAGAAAGTATTCACCCCCTTGGCATTTTTCCTATTTTGTTGCCTTACAACCTGGAATTAAAATGGATTTTTTTGGGGTTTGTATAATTTGATTTACACAACATGCCTACCACTTTGAAGATGCAAAATGTTTTTTCTTGTGAAACAAACAAGAAATAAGACAAAAAAACAGAACTTTAGCGTGCATAACTATTCAACCCAGCAATTACAGCTGCAAGTCTCTTGGGGTATGTCTCTATAAGCTTGGCACATCTAGCCATGGGATTTTTGCCCATTCTTCAAGGCAAAACTGCTCCAGCTCCTTCAAGTTGGATGGGTTCTGCTGGTGTACAGCAATCTTTAAGTCCTACCACAGATTCTCAATTGGATTGAGGTCTGGGCTTTGACTAGGCCATTCCAAGACATTTAAATGTTTCCCCTTAAACCACTCGAGTGTTGCTTTAGCAGTATGCTTAGGGTCATTGTCCTGCTGGAAGGTGAACCTCCGTCCCAGTCTCTGAAATCTCTGGAAGACTGAAACAGGTTTCCCTCAAGAATTTCGCTGTATTTAGCGCCATCCATCATTCCTTCAATTCTGACCAGTTTCCCAGTCCCTGCTGATGAAAAATATCCCCACAACATGATGCTGCCACCACCATGCTTTACTGTGGGGATTGTGTTCTCGGGGTGATGAGAGGTGTTGGGTTTGCGCCAGACATAGCGTTTTCCTTGATGGACAAAAAGCTCAATTTTAGTCTCATCTGACCAGAGTACCTTCTTCCATATGTTTGGGGGGTCTCCCACATGCCTTTTGGCGAACACCAAACGTGTTTGCTTATTTTTTCTGGCCACTCTTCCGTAAAGCCCAGCTCTGTGGAGTGTACGGCTTAAAGTGGTCCTATGGACAGATACTCCAATCTCTGCTGTGGAGCTTTGCAGCTCCTTCAGGGTTATCTTTGGTCTCTTTGTTGCCTCTCTGATTAATTCCCTCCTTGCCTGGTCCGTGAGTTTTGGTGGGCGGCTCTCTCTTGGCAGGTTTGTTGTGGTGCCATATTCTTTCAATTTTTTTAATGGTGCTCCATGGGATGTTCAAAGTTTCCGATATTTTTTTATAACCCAACCCTGATCTGTACTTCTCCACAACTTTGTCCCTGACCTGTTTGGAGAGCTCCTTGGTCTTCATGGTGCCGCATGCTTGGTGGTGCCCCTTGCTTAGAATTTTTTTAACAAGTTATTTTTTTCATTTCACTTCACCAATTTTGACTATTTTGTGTATGTCCATTACATGAAATCCAAATAAAAATAAATTTAAATTACAGGTTGTAATGCAACAAAATAGGAAAAACGCCAAGGGGGGTGAATACTTTTGCAAGGCACTGTAAATGGAGGTCAGAAGTGACTTGTAATGCAAATAATTATAGGTCCCATTGTCCCAAGGGACAAACGTTTTAGTCTGTAACACATTTTATTTCATACTTCAAAGTGGTACCCCATTTGACCACTCAGTGCTAACTATGT